TTTTTGCCTCTTGTCTCCACACTTGCCGACGAACCGGACTGCTGGGCAACTACTACTTGAAAGAAGAAGAAATGTGATGTCAGCAGAGAGCCGAGGCTTAAACAACTGTGCTCAATCACTCCAGGGACCAGAGCTGAAAGTGAACGGCGCAGCTGGACGGTCAAAGCTAAAAAAACCTTGTTGAGTATTAATTTAGATGTAATTAGCTTACTTTAATATTTTTTCAAATGAATGTAGATATAAAAAAAAAAAAAAAAAAGTGATCGTATTTTCACTGGAACATCTTTTATGCTTTCCTGGGTTGGCCTGGATCTCTGTGAACAGGCTGCATCAGCACATTTCACTCCTTTGATCCTTTTGGGGAAGAAAGGCACAGACTGAAGTGAGATTCACATTGGAGGTGTTGTGCTTCTACTATTATCACATTATATTGGCTCTGCGGAATTTAGGATGAAAGGAGTAGAAGCAAAAGAGCTAACCGTTGCACATCTTAGACCACCTACAGAGGCACCTGAAGCAAGCTGGCATGCCTCTGTAATAAAATTAAAAGTGGAAGTGTAACCAGATAACCTAATCAAGAGCTTAATGACCTCTGAGTAGGTGCTGTTTTTAGAGATGAGCAGCTCTGTATTTGATGCTGCAAAGCCTCCTTGGTAAGTGTACTTTGTGGCCACGAAACAGCTCGCTTCCCGACTTTTGTTTTCTCATTTCCAAATGAAATCCGTCTATAAATAGTAAATGTATTTGATTGAAGAGAAAACATGCCTTGAAAATATCCACGAGACAGAAATCTCAAACCATGGTTAACACTGCAGATCTACGTAATGGTTTGGCTTACGAGGTACAGTATCAAATAGCCCTGCCTCGCTGTGGAAATGCAGTTTCCTTATGCTTTGTGCCAGCTTTGGTTGACCCACTTCCTGTGGCCTGATTGCCAGTTGTCATGGTGAAGCAAAAGCATTGTGAAAGGAAAAGGGGGCGATTTGCTTGGAACCCAGATTACAGAACCATACCCGATGACATTTTGCTAAATGATGTTTATTTGTTCTGCGGTGAGAGAGCGCCACCGGTGTCCCAAAACAAAGGAGAGAAGCGGGCTGTAGCTTTGTCTTCTGTAACCTACTCTCAACTGATGGTAATCTCTCAACAGAAACCGGGATAAAAAGCTTCCCGCTCATCCTCGAAAGGCTTTGTATTGACACATTTCTGTTATGAAGTATGATAAACCCCTACCCTGATCTATTTAGCTGTATACAAAGCGAAAGGACAATAAAGGCTATGTAACTTTAAACTTAAAGGTATAGTTTGACATTTTTGGGAAAACGCTTCTTGGCACTGTGGCTGGGAGTTAAGAAGACTGGTACCACTGTAATGGCTGTACAGAAAATATAATAGCCTTTTAGCTACACTGTATAGAAATCTGTAAGTTATATAGGGGTTTTGATGTTTTTGCAGTTGTTTTTGCATTTTTTAAAAGTGATGAAATAATGAAATATTAATACAATTCCAAAAATAGCGTGGGAATTTTCATGTCTAATGTAAAATGATGTGGAAAGTCTGCAACTGTTAATAATCATAAAACTGCTTATTTAATAGAAAAAATCTAACACTCTTCTGTAAATTTAAGCCTGATTTGAATTATAGCAGTAATTTCATTACAGTAGATTAAATTAAATATTAAAGCCAGAAAATTACACAAGATTTTATATAAACCTGACAACCCGTATTTTTTTTTTGCCCCGACTGCCAAAATATTATATTATTAGTAGTATGAGTTTTTTTTATTTTTTTTTTACAGTGTAGGCTTAGCATGAAGACAGAGAAACAGCTTGCTTGGCTCGGTCCGAATATAAATTTGTCCAACAACACCTCTAAAGCTCATTAATAAAACACTGTGTCTCCAGGAAGATACTGGTTAAGAAATACAGTAGCCTAGCACATAAAATGGCGTTTTTGAAGTTTTTGAAGGCAGATGGGTGATGGTGAAAACACATGGTGACATCAAATGAGTTTAAATGAGCCTGGGGGCCCCTGTTGGCATGCTTAGAGCTTAAATGCACCTCCCTCGCATTTGAAATGGGCCAATGCTGGAGCAGAGGGGGTTCACACCATCAGCACATTGGGGGATGGGAAGGACACCCAGGCAGTCCTTCCATTTCCAAGAACTGCTGTTGATGGGGGAAGGAAAAAAAAAAACTTTCCCCATTCACCATTTTCCTCATCCCCTCCTCTTACTTCTGACGTAAGTCATGAAAGAGGAAGCACGCTCGACTTGCACATTTTGAGCCATTTTTGCACTCAGTAGGAAATGATACATTCAGATTTTTCGCAATAAAAACAATATAGACAAGCAGGTGTTGTACCAAATATAATATATAGTACAAGTGTTGTTAATCCATTGTTTGATTAACAATATATAGTAATAACAAGTAGCATTAAAAAATACTGTTTTTTTGGGGGGGGGGTTTTACACACACACACACACGCCTTTTCTCCCCTTCATTATCTGAAATAGTAGGCTCCACTGAGGAGTGAGAAAAAGTATGCAGTCAAGGTATTTTTGGATAATGGCATAAACATTATATGCACACAGACAGCGACATAGGTAATCTTTTTTAATGTGCTCTAAATTTGCAGAGAGCAGCTAAACACATGGCCCAGACCACCCAGAAATAGGGGGGCAGGCTTGTCTGTTCATCAAGTCAGTCTCTGCTGCTTGTGCAGAATGTCTCCAGAGCTTCACACCCGCATTCTTCAACCCTCGCAGATATCTGCCAGAGAGAGTTAATGGAAACGCTGCAAAACTTTTGATGTTAGCCTGAGACTGTGCCGGAAAGGCCTTTTGCCATCAGGACAAAGCCTGGGAGATGCCCCCCCTCGCTCATACGGCCTCTCGCCTTCCCTCCCGCTCTCTCCCTCCTCCTCCTCCTCCTCCTCCTCTCCCTCCTCCTCCTCCTCCGCCCCTGCCCCTGCCGCGGCCCCAGCCTCTCCCGCGGCTGCTGCTCAGGTGTCCGGCCGAGCGCCTCAGCTTCTTCCTCTCCTCGTGGTGTTCCCACTCGGCCTGCTGCTGCTTCTTCTGCTGCTCCGACTGCAAAAGATTACAGAATAACATGTTAAACAGTGTTCAGCTGTGTGTTTCCATCTGTACTTTAATGGAGTAAAGTCCTTTTACATTTGGGGGAAAAGCAAGCAGTACTAACCCTTACTCACTTCCACTTCTAAAAGTTTTTTCTTATATTTTATGTTGAGTGTTTCAGGGTATTACCTGTCTGTAAATCTGTAAACACATCGCTCAATAGAGACTGAAGACTTTCTCCAAGCTTTCGTTGCTAAAACTGGGTGCAAACAATTCAAGAAAAAAACCTTCATTCCAAATACTAAAGGGCAGCCTCGTGTTGTTGCCTGGGACATTCATATTTAATGTGTTATAAAGCTCTCTATGTTACACAGTGACTTGCTATATTTCCAGTTTGTTTGACTACAGAGGAGTGTCCTTGAAGTGCCGTACGTTTGCTAGTGGCCATTTTTGCTGCTGTTCAAGCAACTACCTTGCCTCAACACTAAATTGTTTTCAGTATGTTATTGGTGGTACGGATGCTGGCTTATTATATCAAATGCCAGACCAAGCTTTCTTTACCAAAATGTAGCTCAGTAAATTTCCCATAAGTGTGAGACTGTATGAAGTTAAACTAATCTTCAGACCACCTTGGTGCATCCTCTCCAATTGGCTGCACTTGGCTGTTTTGTGTTTTATAATTGAACTTCATTGCTGAGGCAGAGGATGGTGCCTCATGTGAACAGTTTACCTTTTTGAGAGTGAAGGTCAGCTGTTTGCTGCCCACTGCAGTGTCGGCCATGTTGCTGGTTCCAGAGTGCTCCTCTAGCTTCAGACGGTCCTCCAAAGAAGCCCTGGAACAACACACACATTCCTCAGACACATTCAGAAAGTAGTTGGCTCTTAACTTGCACTGTAGAGTAGTTTTCTATTATTATTATTATAATTTTAATTAATATTCTTATCTATTGATTTAAGTTTGTCAATCTGTTTGAAACAAAGTTTCTTCCATAACTGGAGAGGTCAGGTTATGCCTCCTCATGAACAGCTGCAAACCCTAAAGCAATCTTAATAATAATCTGGGTTTCAAAGACAGCTGCACACTATAAGCCAGCACTCCTCCAACACTTCTGTTTAATGTATTTCCAAAGACATACTTCTGCAGTCTCTGCTTGCGGGCCATGTCGTTAAAACTTCTGAACTCCTCCCCGGCCTTGATCTGATAAAACTGAGGCTGACTTGTCTTCTTGCTGTTTGAGGTTCTCTCTTCTCCGTTGTGTTCCTTCTCCAGCAGGATGGTGTTGCGGTCTGCTTCCTTCCTGTCATGTTTCCGGCGGTCTCGGCCCTCCTGCCACAGCAGCCTCCGCTGCTCCCTCACCTCCTCCACCCAACTCTTGTCGTCGTCCGAGCTCTCCTCCTCGGAGCTGGCTCGCCCCTCGGGTTCTTCCTCGTCTTCAGCCACCTGGACAGAGATGTTACAAAGCTTATTGAGAGTTATTGTTGTGATATTCTTTCTTGGCGCTGAGGACAGGCCTAAGTAGTCATCCTAAATGATGTCTAGAAAATACAGTACGTGCAAACACAGCTCGTTCGCAGAATCCTGTGAACAAGATGAACAAAAGAAACATGACTGTCGGGAGGGATTATGAAATGTTGCAAGCTGATATCACACATAATACAGTTTTTCCAATACAAGAACTGAATGTGGAAAGCCACTATTTAGTTATGCTACTCCCTTTGATTCAAACCAATGCCTCCTATTTGTTTTCCTTCTCAAATGGGAGCAGCTCAAGTCTAATGTCCCTCACATACTTGCATTTCTAAACGCCTGGAAACTGTAAACACTTCTGTACCTGAGGAAATGTAACTAACAGATCTTTTGAGCGTTACCTGTTGAGAAGCAGCGGCCTGCTGAGCCAGTAGACGCAACTTCTTCTTCCTCTTTTGTCCGACCTTGGAGACAATGGGGTTGAGGAGGCGATACTCCTCGCTCTGCTCGTCCACCTGGTATTCTGGGTTTTCGAACATGACCTTAAAGCGGTCGTCTCCCAGGATGCTGGGGAGAGCCTGCCGTTTCGAAAAGTTGAGAAAGGGGAAATGATCAGGGCGATGGTTTTGTAGAGCATACTGATTCTCAGTTTGGTTTTAGACTTTTTCTCTTGCTATCTGCTGGGATGGTGAATACATCCAGCTAAAGAGGTACAGAGAGAAACTTTAAACCTTTATTTCAATAATTTTCAACTGAGTCCTATTTCATAATATTCCCAATCTTATGAAGGTCTCAAACAGAACAGAATGCATAACTCAAGGCAGATGATGAGTTCTGAGTATCTTCAGAATAAATGAATTCAGAGACCCGAAAACAAATGAGGCACAGTAACCACCTAGATTTTGTAATCTCTGTTGTTTTACCTTGCCCTTCTTTTTCCTAGAAGCCAGCTCTGCTTCGTCATCACCCTCCTCCATCAGCTTGAGAGCCAGTTCCTTGTTCACCTTAGGCAGTTTCTGTCTCAGAACACATTGAACATTTGGTTACACACACAAACAGGACATATTACTTAATCAGCTTCATTTGTGAAGCAACAAGCAAATTTCCCCTGGCATGCTTAAAGATTATTTGTTTTAAACATTTGAGAGTGAGACAGGATGTGAAGAAACATTGCATTCAGCAATGACCTTCTGGTCTTCACAGGCAGTAACCAGGGCAAACCAGTTTGAAATGCACATTTAAATGAAATTCTTGAGGGTAACTGGCCTATGTCAATGTGAGAGAATGTGAAAATTGGAAGGAAGAAGGAAGAAGTGATGTGTGTTTTGAACACTGGGTAAGAATCTTGTGATCACTGATTGGCATGATGTTCTCCCTTGTACAAACATAAAAGACAGAGAATAACATCTCAGGGCCAGAGATTTTAATAGTTCTGCTTTGCAAACTCTGTGAATCCGTAACCACCAAAGATGAAACATTTTCTCAGGATCTCTCACCTTAACCTGCACCCTTTGGGTCCTGGACTCCTCAATCTTCTGCCGGATCTTATCCTTGCGATACTCCTCGTAAGCAAAAGGATTTGCCATGGTTTTGACCTGCGGCCGAACCAAAGAGCAAAACTGTCAAATCTAAACTCACCTCTTTGACAACAACAACAACAACAAAGCAGGTTTTGTCTGTTATATCATGATCAGTCTGATTTAACAACACAGCCAATTAATTAGGCTTACAGAACATGATATAGCAGTTAGACACCTTACCTTGTGATAAAGCCTGATGTCCATGAAGTAGCCGTGCATGTAGGCTCTCAGGAGAGATGACCCCACCAGGTGAGACAAACCTGAGACAAATAAGGAAAACAAACAATCAAGTCAGGAATGTGCTCAAGAAATGAACTGAAAATAAATAAATAAATAAATAATAAAATCCAGACATTTTATATTATATTAGCAGATGTGTCTATGTGCGCAGTCTGTTGGCTTGCACTCACTTTGGACCAGACTGAAATAGATCAACAACTATTTAATGGATTGCAATTACATTTGGTACAGACATCTATGATCCCTTCATGATGAATTGTAATGACTTTGGTGACCCTGTAACTTTTTGTCTAGCACCATTGTCAGGTCAAAAATGTTGCTCTTTTGTTACTTTGATTTATGACCAAATACCTGCACAATAATAATTCCCATCAGGAATTAGAAAATATTGGCAGGCTAACACACTAAACTAAGTTGGTAAATTGTATACTTGCTAAATATCAGCATGTTGGCATTGTGAGCATGTTAGCATGCTAACTTCCGTATTTACAACCTCACAGAGCCACTAGCATGTCGTTCTCAGGATGTACCTGAGAACACATTATTTTATAGTAGCTCTATTTAAAGAGAATATCCAACCTGAGACGACTCATTTTAGGGTGTGATAGGGAGCAGCAGCATGCATGGGTTCTGCTGATCGTTAGAAAAAGCAGTTGTTGCGTCAAAGCATGCCAGCAAGTGAGAGCGTGTAGACAGGAGGGCATAAAGAATGTGGAGTAAGTGCTCTTCTCAGGATCTTCCGTCAGTGTGTGCCCAGGCTGCCTCGTGGTTACATAACAGGGCCGCATTACACGGCTCCTGTAAATCAACACCGCTGTTCCCCTGCCTGCCCCCTCCTCTGCTTTTATTCCACAGCAGCCAACCACCTTTCTGCTTCTTGTCATTTGATCTCTTTACTGCTGAGCCTGCATTCCAATGTTCATTCAACCCTTCCAGTGTCCACTCCCCCGACCCTCCTTCCTCCCACCCCCACACACTACTTTTCTTACCCAAAGCCCCTCAGTCGTTCCCTAGGCCTCTAGTTAGGTAGTCTAGCCACCTGTGCTAACCCCTAAGGCGGCAAAGTGGCTCAGATTGACTCATAGTTTTGGGTGTAACTTTCAGGGCTGGGATTAAATAACCCGCTGTGCTTTTTACTAAAAAAATAAATGCACCAATTTCATGTTTAATTTGGGGAAATCTTTTCTGTATAACTGGTTGTTTAACTTTGAGATGTGTTTCCACAAGTCTCACCCAGATTTTCCAGGTCCTTCCGGGTGACAAACTTGTAGTCATCGTACACCGTGCTCTCCGGGCTCTCTTCCAGCTCCTCTGTTAGGTTGTCCAGGAAGGAGCACCACCGGGGTGCAGGGCCCAGAGCCTAAACATACACACACAAAAAGCTAGTTCAGATTTAGACTGTTGAGTAAGTATGAAACCTGTCGTGTATTTGTTGAAACAAAAATAGACCAACTGTACAAGGTCATGTTTCCATTCCGGTTAGACAGTATTGAGCTCTTCCTTTTTCCAAGAAACCGTGGAATCGGCAGACATGCAAACCCAACACTGGTGGTACATGCTCATATTTAAAAAAACATATAATATTAAATCATATTAAATTAAGTCATATAATACTACCAAACCAGGAAATTCAGTTTCTGATACACAAACCAAACGCTGGCTCTAGATAGGATGTTTAGTGTTTTTTGTGGCCACTGTAGTTCCTCCTGTACACTTGGAAGGCTAGCAGTACTTAGGTGGCTGTGATCTATATTTTCACTGCTACATGGCACTAAATCTGACTTTCAGGTAAAAATGCCAAACAGTCCCTAGTCCCAGCTTCTCTACTGTGACAGTTTACTCCTCTTCTTCGTTTGGTGATAGTAAATTGAATATCTTTAGGTTTTTGAATTTTATATGTATCAGGTGAAACAAGTGAGTAGACAAGAGTACTTTGAGAGGTTATCTTCATCCCGGCAGCAAAAATACAGGTGATTGCCAGGAAGTGGCTTTTCTTCTTGAAGGAAAAACTTTCTGGGGAGAAACAGCTGCACTTTAAAATGTTTTTTGCTCTGATTCTATCCTCTAATGTTACCAAACACTGACTTAGAGGTTGTTGTTTCATGGATAAAGTGTGTTATCTGGAAATTAAGGTTAAATCGGAGTTTCTGTGTACCGTAAGTGCGTTCAAATCAGTATAACTTAACACTGCAGCATGTAGGACCGAAAGACAACATCTGCCAAAAGGTTCATTTGCTTCAAGTAATATGAGTATGATAATTATGTAATATTAGTCAATTAATTTTTTCTGTTACATCCCTATCTAGTGCTGTTTCTCAAAGTTCAGCACTAGTGAGTCCCCCATATGTAGGTACAGAACAGAGCGGCAACTTACAATGATTTCTACCATCGATTAATCTGTCAATCATTTTCTTGGTGATCAATAGGTTGTTTAGTCCATAAAATGTTTCACTGCTTCCCAAAGCAGCTCCTCAAGTGTCTGGTTTTGTCCACAGCCCAAATAAATTCAGTTTACTGTCATAGAGGACTAAAGAAACCAGAAAATATTCGCATTTGAGAAGCTGAAATCAGAGAATTTGTTTGTTTGACAGGATGACTCTAAACGATTAACTGAAAATAGTTAGCAATTAATTTAATAGCTAACAACTAATGATTGCAGCTCTAGTATAGAAGATACTGAACCAAAGACAGTAAGTAACTAGTTTAGTTTATCAAAGAGCGACTCATGCTGTGACATCTCTGAGTTAGAATCAATGGATGGGTGAAAGTCTCATGCAATAGGCTAAACCCAGCGTTTCTGCCTGTTCTGTGGAATTTGTTTGGTCTACGATGACAGAGTCGCACAGTGAGGTCAAGGTCGACAGAATCCAGCGTTCAGTACCCGGTCATTCTTTAGTTTCATCACTGCTGTGCTGATAAAGCTTCAAACCGTCCTACAGAGATAATCAGAGCTGCCTGCGACCTTTTTTTTGTGTGTGGCAGAAACATTGCAGAGGTGTAAATGGCAGGTTGCTCAAACAAGTCTGAACGCACATCCTGATTTTCTAGGAAGTCTGCTTCCTCAAACCATAAACACTCGCGTGAAAAGCGTCACTCGGGACAGGAGGTTCTTGGAAAAATCTAAACGTTCCGTCTGAACTCACCTCAGAAAATGACATCAAACACAAACCTGTCCATTCCTCATGTTGCCAAAAACATTTTGTTTTATACTGCTTAGGCTGCATTAGTACAGTAAGTCGATACTGATTATCAGTCCAACACACAACTATTACCACTGTATTTTATGGAAAAGAGTCAAACTGAATTTAATACCCAAAGCAGTAAAGCTTTTCTTTAGATCATAATAACATGTTCATGCACACTTGCAACAATGGTGCTGATGGTCTCGTCCAACTTTGGCTACAAAGCACAAGGTGAAGTCTTCAATCAATTAAACCAACAATCCGGAACCTAAAGATATTGAATTCACTATCAGATCAGACAAAGAATCAACACAGCCTTACAACTGACAGGCTGACACTGGACAATGTTGCTATTTAAATGGCGTAAATGTTTGTTTCAGCTGTAGATCCAACATGTATTTCAACTGCCATGTGATGTATTAACCTAACGCAGGGCAGAATGGCCTTCAGCATGTCCATGTCCACCATGTGGGGAATTTACAGATTTACACAAAGCAAGATCTAGTTTACTGTACACACACACACAAACACACAAACACCTTCTCTAGAAAAACACACACTGTCAGATAATATCAGAGTCACAGGACAGACTGTTGATGACAGACTGTTGATGACAAGCTTTCACCAGCTTTACTCATTATACAGCGGCCTCGTGTGAACCAGATTAATGAAAGAGGAAATAAAATGGCTCATATACCCTTAAACTAGGGCTGATCATTTTGTCAATATATTGATTATTTGTTTGGTCCATAACATGTCAGAAAACATTTATGAAGGCCCTCAGATGTCTTAAACATCCAGAGATACTGAGTTTACTGTTTTAGAGGACTGAATAAGTCAGAAAATATTTACATTTGAGAAGGTGAAATCAGAGAATTTAGACATTTTTTCTATAAAAAAGCGAATAATCTTAGAGTTAACAACTAATCTTTGCAGCTCTCCCTTAAACAGTCACCTGGACCACTGAGGCCTGTACACTCAACTGTCCTGGAACATCAAATAAAAACACCTTTATTGCAAGATCAGATATGTGCTGTCGAATCAGCATGTGATGAACAAGGTGTGAATGTGACCCGTCTGCTGCAACCTGCTCGTACCAGCATACCAAGTCATCAGTGAGGAATGCAAATGGCTCTGCACTCACCGGGATGTAGAACGTGTTCATCTTGGGATCTTCATTGGCAGTGAAGAGCATACCTGTCAATGAGACACAGGGTTGCGGGCAAAACAATGTCAGGATGGGAGCAGAGCAGATAGTAATAGAGCTCATCTGTGGTGTAAACACTGACTTTAGTTCCAGTCACGTATATATGAAGGTCCTATTACACTTCAAAAACTAAACTGGTATGTGAAATAGGGAACGTGGTTAAGATTTGAATTTACATATCCTGAGGGCAGAATACATTCCTATTCAAATAATGAGAGGGGAATAAGAGCTGTTCTTACAAAGTAAAATAACATTAGAATCTATGAGCTGAATAATAATGTGAAAATATCTAATAGCTTTAAGGATGGAACCTCATTAAAAAAAAGCTTAAAAGCAAAATCTCAAAAAATCGTATTAATTCAGCACCAAATACGGATTTTAATTATGACTTCGATGTCAACAGTCACCTTCCGTTTTGTGCCTGGTGTAAACGGACAGACAGGCAATGACAGTCAGAACAAACCTGCAAAGTCAAACAGTGTTTGAACTATGCTGTAAGATGGCGCCACCCGCAGGTAAAAGACAATGGTATAGGTTGTGAAGAGGGTTCGTATTTAGCTGCTAACACTGCTATCTGCAGACACAGCACTTTACCCAACTGCCACTTTAAGTCCTCCTAACTGCTGAAGTGAAGAAAAGTATTTTCCAGTTTCCTTTTGATGCTTTTGATCATAAGGAAACTGAAAGAGATACTTGTCTTCAATTCAGCCGTTAATCATTCTCCAGCATTAAAAAAAAAAAGAGTCTACCGTACAGTCAGCTGCTAAGGGTTAGATGCATTTGTGATTCTGATTATTCTTTTGAGTCACAAGCCAAAAATCGGAAAAATCTGAAGGTGATTAATTATTAGACAACCACATTAACAGGGTAAAGCCAGGTTCAGCTTTCTGACTTACTTAAACCTAGTTATAGAGAAACACTTTCTCAGGGGCTTACATTTGTGTCCACCTACAGTCCTGTATCTAGATCAGTCCAACAAGTAGTGAGTAGACACTGGCACCCTCAAACTGCTATCTATTTACCGTAATAAGAGGTCTTTCAACTTATGCGATTACCCAGTAATGTCATATTTCATTTTCCTTCTCATAACCGTATACATTGCTATTCTATGATGTCCAGTCATGACCACAGATTGAGTGAACTGCATTACATGGGCACTAAGACAGTGAAGCTGGTGGGAATGGGGACAGAATCATTCTCCAAAGGGAGACATGTTGGATACACTTCCTTGATACCCTCAACCCGATGGCACGAATGAGGAGATTTCATTTGCATTTCTTGTGTTGTGCATGCCATTTGATGTGTGTTTTTGAATTTCCATGTATTTTGTATCATGTCACTCTGTGCCTGTAGCTCCCCCTGTTGGAATGCACTTGCTTTATGATTTTACACATTTAGGATTTAGCACCTAGTTTTTATAGTCCTAATGGGAGTTGAGCACCTTATTTCATACGACTATGGTTCTCCCAATACACTTTAAAGTTACTATTTATGTTGGTGTATATAGTTTTTATGCTTCATTTGTATATAGTATATTTTCTTTTTTATGTTTTTAGTGCTCTAGTTTTGCTCTCTAAAGTTATCTTTTACCTTTGCTGCTGTGACAGTTCCATTTCCCTGCAGGGCACCAATAAAGCTTATCTCAAGATCATGATGTAGACGTTGTTCTCACCTGAATTTGGATAGATGCAAATATCATTGATGTTGGTCTGAGGCTGTATAGAGGAGAACACCTTCCCCTGGGGTGAGCAGAGAGAATACATAAAAGATAAATGGCATCAGAAAGAGTCTAGGCAGATCTAGACAGTCTAGTGTTTTCTTTGTTGTACTTTCTTGACATCCACACAAAGAACATGCACAAATTTCTGACAACCAATTTAACATGATATGGCGGCTTGAAACGGCTAATATATAAATATGAACAACCCTTAATACATCATCATGTACATGTATGTGAATGGCAATAGGTGAGTTAGGTCTTACAGTGTCTTTGTTCCAGATTTTTATAATCTTGGAGTCGGCAGACACAACCAGGTCCAGTTGATCGTGGAAGTTGAGTGACTTGATTGGCAGGTTGTAGAAGTGGTCTTTAACCAGCAGTGGCTGGCTGGAGCGCAGGTCATAGAGCAGCACCTTCAAGACAAAGCAAAGGGTGGATAACACCACTAAAATCTAGTCTGACCATGTGTGTATGTTAATGCATATGAGTGAACTGAAATTGATGTTTTTCTAATCTACATCTGTGAATTAAGGATTTATTTTGACCAAACCAGAGTTGCTGATGAACAGTGGAACGACTAACAAACACTGTTTTGGTGACTCTTATTGAAGTTACAATGTTACGTGAGGCACAATTACCATTTTTCTCTATGGAGTCTGGTGCTGAGTGATAGCGATATTATTGTTTCTGGTTAAACAAAAGCTCTATGTCTGTAGGGACCCTTTCCATAATGCTGTCAGATACTTAAAATATCAATCCAAGCCTGCCAGTGGCAGAAACAAGCACTGTTAGTGGATGTGCTTTAACCAGCGCATTTGTCGCTAGATTAGCTAACGTTACATGGCAGCCATTGCAGCCCATTTCACAGCTATTTTCCAATTTAACTCTGTGAATTAAGGGTTTATATCAACCAAACCAATATTGGTGATTGCTGGAAAGACTGTGGACGGACTAACACAGATGTCCAGTTTTAAGTGTGTTTTATGATGATCTGCTAGGTAAAATTACTGGTTTTGTCACTGGAGTCTGGTCTACCTAGTGTCACTGTTTTGGTATGAGATACTGGTGCTCTAGTGTGACATCTAGTGGCAACTGAATTTCATACCAACCTATTCTGAAAGAAGTAGGCTTTCAAATGCTACAACAATACTAAAAACATTTTAAATGCTAAAATGCTACATTAAACCAAAAGAGGCTATGTCACAGGGGCGCCAGCTGCACAAGACCTCCTCACTCAAAACAGAGCTCGTTTTGAGAACAGTGTAACCCTTTAGAATAGACATCATGACATCAGCCACTTCTTTGTGAGTCAACTAATGTCAGGAAGAAGAAGCAGAATATCGCACCATGTGGGCAGCTGAGAGTTCACAACAACAACAAAGAGAGCGAAAGTGAATAACGAGAGATGTAGACCAGTGTTATAGAGCGCCATCAGGACCGATTGTTCAGCTGCTGCAGATAGCTATCATGAAAATATAATGTGTCACACTTCAGTGAGTTATTAGCCCAAAACACGACTCCGTTTTTTTTTTTTTACCTGTCCTGTGCTGGTGCCTACTGCCATGGTGAGGGAGCCATTAAACTTCAGCGCACTAATTGAGGGCAAACCTTGAACTCTGTCAACAAAAACACAAATAAGAATAATATTAATAACAGCTGAATATTAAGGAGATAATAGGTCAAGTGAGACACAAAGACAAAAATCTGAAAAAAAGACACTGTTGCTGCCTTGTGACAGAATAATACACTGTGAATCAGTTGAAAGCTGGATATTTCTAAGTGTACCATAATGATGCACAGCTTGCAACTTGTTTTTCATGCAGTAGAGTTACAGGCACTGGAGAAAAGTCAGTGCCATGTGCCTACATATGCATCGTCAGGCTGACATCAGCTGAAATCATTTGTTATCTTGGTGAGAGATACGGTGCGACAGCTTGGTACGTACTCTGTTCCTTCAGTAAGGCTGCTCAGGGCGCAGTCCAGCATGCCCACTCGGTTCCGGACACGAGGGTCCCAGCATTCGACCCTTCCCTGGTAATCCAACGGAGGAGATGTCAAAGAGTCAGGCATATTCAGGGGAATGGAAGATTTGAGGAAGCTTACAACTCATGACTTTTAAAAGATTTTTTTAATTAAGTGGGACTTTAAAAAAAAAAAAAAAAAGACTAATAAAAAGCTGCAATGGGCAACTTGTTGGCAGCTCCTAATGTAAGTGAGGGCAGTAACGGTTTGAAAAACTTGAACTTTAACACTCACAATTCATGCAACAGATGTATTTTTATCAGCCCAGCTGGTGTGTGATTCTTACACCGAAAGATATCAAAGATGAGAGAAGAGAAAGATCTACAATTTTGGTAATCCAAAAAAGAATAGTCTGAGAAAAGCCTTTTTCTTATAAAACAAATATAAACATATATATTACATATGTAAAAATATAAAAATACCTGGTTAAACACCAGTGAAATCAACCAATTTCTTATTGAACACATCCAATGACAGTGAAACTCTACATGGCAGTATAAGTGAACTATAAAGTCTAACTGTGTAATTGTGTTACATTTTAAGCACAGGCAGAAAAACGAAACCAGTTACTGGAAGGAACAAATATTAGTCTTCTAATACTCATCAAGGACATTTTAATCCTTATTAGGGGATTATTTTATTTGTATAAACATATTTAAGATGTACTATAATGTAAGTCTTCGTATATACTAAAATGCACGTAGCAATGAACGAACACACACACACACACAGAGTAATGGTTTCACTTGTGTCTGCTCATAACTGGTGCCTCATTTCACACACAGCCTGCTATGGCACTTACCTCAGAAGTTCCTGTGGCAAACAAATGATGGACGGGATTGATGTCACACACATTGTTCTCTCTGGTCGAGAAGTCAAGAAAAAAAAAAAGCATCATGAACATCAGCTGAGAGCAACGAGAGCAAAGAAGTCATCAGTTAATGGTTAGTGGTAGAATCATTTTAATATTTTCACCTGGTTGAATCTAACATTAACCACTTACTATTACACTTTCTGTACTTACACAGCATCAGTTTGGAGTGAGTTGAGGAAGCGTCCTTGTTCCAGATTCAGCCTGAACACCTCTGAACTGAAAATGAAAACCAAAACATCAACAGTGTTGCCCAGCCAGCTTATTCCTACATCACGCACAGGACAGATCAGAAATGTCTGTCAGGCAATCAACTCTCACCTTGAGCCTACAAAATACAGGTCACAGGAGGGGTAATGGTAAGAAAAGCCCCGTCCAAACTTTGGAATGCGTGTCTTGTAGTAGTGTCCGTGCTGGGAGTGGAACTCCACGTAGCGGTCAGAGTGCAAAAACACCAACTGCACCAACACACAGAAGAAGAAACAGTGAGTTCAAAAGTGAAAACCAAGCCTTTTACCACCTCCAGATGTGGCAGTTTGTTTAAAACTGCACTAACTGTCATAAAATGTGTACTAATGCAGTTTTAAGGTAGTAAAGACTGCTTTCACTGTGGGACTTCATATGATTAGCTCTGGGTCCTGTAACTGCACAGATTAATATAAATGTAGTTATTTAATAGAAGTGTCTGTCCTTCTAATAACTATACTTACATCTAAGGATACCTGTGCACACAATTATTTCGATGTTTATGTTCCAATCTTTTTATAGGTAAGGTGACTGAAATGTCATTACCAGTTTCTGCTAACTTCACAGATCCTTTAACTGACAGCATGATAATACTATGCATTTACAGACCAAACGTTCAAGACAACCAACCTGCTATCATTTATAGTTTTTAGAGATTATGAGTGTCACGGCAGCATGCATAGATGGTTCAACTTAATGGACAATGCATGGAGGAATGACGTGCAACAAGACAGTTAAAATTCATTTTCTAAAATGATCCAGCAGCCAGGAAAAAATGCATGTAAAGATTCTGGACAGTGTACGGATCTTTGAACTTGTTTATCTTCTCCTTAATATTTGGTCAGTATTTCATCAGCCAGGATTACGTTAATATATTAAATTAACTCCCAGATGTGCATTCAGCTTTTTACACTTGTGTTATGAATCTTCCAGACAGTCATGGCAGTGACTTTGAGGGCTTAAATCAGGTGTGATCTCTGCAAATTGGCCTTTTGTTTTCTCTCTGAGATATTGAGATAAATTAACTCGGGATCTTGAACAGCATAAAAAACAATTGCAAGCAAGGCCGTTCTCAGGGTCTGTATATTACACCATGTTGATACATAACAACGTAAAAACAAACACTTCCAACAGCAGTGGATGAAGCATTGGGGCAAGAGGGCCGGCAGTTTCTTACCTTAGAGTAGTCATCAGACAGGATGTCAAAAGCCACAACTTTGAGGGAGAGAAAAGAGATAAATCAAATTTAGTCGTACATGACAGGGTGCCGTACAACGAGTGGGCGCGCCTGCTGACTTACCATCTGAATCCAGACAGCGCTCAAACTTCAGGGACAGCTGGTAGGTGTCATAGCAGCGAATCCTGGGTTTGTAAGTGCCTGAAATGAATGGAAAATAAAAAACATACACAAAAAATGAAGTGACTGCCTTCTTGGAAATCTGTTCTGAGAGACAACTGATCTCACTTTCTGGTGAAACACTATCTACAGCTTGTCCTACCTGCTGCCAGGATGAACTGACCATCCCTTGACACTTTGATAGAGGTGCACACTGTGGGCATCTCGAAGTCCTGGATGAGCTCAATCCTGCGCTGGATGTCTGAGAAAGAAAATGATCATATGGAAATAGAAATGTCAGAATAAGACACAGATTAAGCAGTCTGTGATGCTGAATTTGTTGCGGTCAACTCACCAACATCTTTCTTTTGCAACTGTCTCTTCTTCCGATCTGACAGCCACTGCATTAAAGAGGTAGGGGTGATTAGGATTTGGCCAATAAAGAATTAATTTCAAATGTTACAACTGTGCTACACACTACCTTTGTGTGGTTTATTTTAGCTTAGGTTAATATATATAACTGGTACAGCATTTAGTGAAATAGGCAGTGCATAATGAGGTGTGGCTGAATTGAGGAGTCTCAAATAAGGTTTTACTCTGTAGTTATGTGCGTTCCTTTATTTATATGACAGTAACATAAAGGTAGTGTGTTATTTAACAGCCAAATGTCAGGACTACTCACGGCTAGCTGTGTTAGCCAGCTAGCCAGGCTCCAGGTAAGCAGTAACTGTATAGCTTATGTAATGTAACGTTAGGAACGAGCCGTGCTTCTTACCTCTGGTAGAGACTTCCCATGACTTAAGTTGTAAATCTTCACATCATTCACGCTAGATATCTGCATTGTAGAAGGCGAACAGGACTCTGGTCACACATTACACTGTTACTACACACCGGCGAGCTCCACTCAATCCACGTTGTTGCTGCGGGGCAAAAACAGGAAGTGAAGAGGAGCGTTCCGAAATTGGTCCGACTAGAAACCACACTGACTGAGCAGAAGTCCCCCTCCTCTCCACAATGCTTCTGGGTTCACACAACACAAGAAAAAATATGGTTGACTAAAGTGATAAAAGAGTGAAAAAGTTCATCTTTATGTTACACACGTTAAATATCAGAATTGTTTTATTTTATCCATTATGTTAGTATCAGTCGTAGGATGTTAGCTTGTTACGTTATAGCTGAATTAACTAGCTAGAGAGTTAATTTAGGTTAATTGACAGAAGACTGTACTGTAAGCTAGGTTAGCAAGCTAGGTATGTTTATGTCGACGTTTAACATTTTGCACAAAATATCAATTTATTGGATGGAACAAATGACTGTTGAGGAGAATGATATTAAGACTTTTTAATGTCCACACTGCAGTACAAACTATAAATAAATACAGATAAAGGGAACCTAATCTATGTTAATCTGATTACTAATAAACTACATATTGTAAATTGTCAGCCCAGTGTTTTATCAAGGCCTTTTAAGGCGTTTCCATATATCAATGCATACAAAAGTACAGAAAACTCTAAAATAACACGTAGTTATGTTGTAGTTAACTTTGAGGAGCATGCTGAGTGACAGAATAGTTGCAAATTGAGAGTCAACCATTTTCAGTAATGTGCTTGCTGGCATCATCCTATGAAATCACCTGGAGTGATGTAACAGCTGCAGGATGTGATCTGAGAGGACAGTGTCTGTCCGTCTGTCTGTCAGTCAGTCAGTCTCAGGTGGAGCTGCTGCTACTTCACAACACTCACAGTGGGGCTGACACAGGACGGCCATGAAGATAACCTGAGGGTAAGCATCTCTGCCTTGAAAAGCTATTTCTTTTGATTTCATAGTGTCTGTTTTATTTGACTTTATGTAGCCATAACCAAGGAAATATGTCAATATAGTCATAGGACACTCAAGGACTTTGTGTAAACTGAAATAGAATAACACAAAGGTGTAAAATCATTTACCTAAATGTAATTTTACAAAATAAAATGACATGTATTTTTTTAAGTTCATCTTACTGTATGTTTCTTTGCTCTGGGTCACAGTCTATTTGGTGCCAAAGCCTTGTTCTTGTGGGGAGGATTTTGACTGGAGGTCTCCATGTGAAGCACTGGGAGTCATGACCGACTTGTGGTTGATATCTGTCCCTCTGGACAAGACCAGTTTAACCAGTGTAGAAAAACTCAAGCACATCATTGCCAAAACCAACTTGGCCTCCTGCTGCAAGTTCTCCATTCCAGATCTCAAGGTGAGGTTGTTTATGCCCCAGCAAAGAGCCCGAGGGAGCCAAATAAAGTGTAAAGAGTAATAATACACATAAGGACCAGATATTGAAGAAAACAAATAGCAAAAACAGTTGTATGTGTGTTTTTATTGTTCGGTGTGTGTTTATACCAGTACAGTAGAGTGTAGTTGAGGAGGGTGATGGTGTTTGGTGTCCTTCTCTGGTGAAGGGATAAAGGCTCAGGTTGCTTTCTACAGTTTGAGGCAAAATTTCCATCTGACCCATTTCACTCAACGTGATCAATGTTCACCTTGGCTGCCAGGAGTCACATTTTAACAGCAGTGTTTCAATTCTGTCAAGAGTTCAAACATGAAAACCCTTTAAATGGGGCACTGAATGTGATATGTGGACCCCTTCGTAAGTGAATAAATCACAATACACGAAGAACCGTTGGCCTGTGTTTAATGATTTGATACAACAGCTACAGTAACTAACTGTGCTGTCTATGCTGTGACCTCAGGTGGGAATATTGGACAGTCTGCTCAGCGTGTCAGATGATCTCTCCAAGCTCGACACACTGACTGAAAGGTGAGAAATATGATGAAACAAAGTTACATTTTTGCCCATGCTCTGTCATATGCAAACAAAACCTGTCTGCCTCAGTGGTCATTGCACATTTGTCGCTTAATGTGCAGCTTTGTCCTTAATTAGGACTTGTAAGTCTGAGCTTGTGTGCGGTCTGCGCCATGATTAATTGATGGTCAGGGGCAGTTGACGGTTAGTTTACCCTCCTTATTTTAAATTCATTGTTGTTATATCGGAGCTGACTCGTTGTGAGTTTGGATGTCGAAGCCTATTAGTGACATCAAAATGTGGTCTTGTCATTTTATTCACTTTGAGCCACTGTTTTCTGAATCTCTCTTCAACTAGAGGTCTTTGCTTAGATAAATAAGATGTAAGATGTAAGATATTCCTTTAATAGTCCCACAATGGGAAAATTCCAAGTTCCAAATTCACTACTTGCTCCACAATAATACGGTAGTTCATTGTGGGCCTCAGTCAATAATGAAAGAATCTGGATAAAAGAGATTTCCAGGAAAGGAGCCAATAAATTATTAAACTTATAAATAAATAACATGTAAAATGCATGAATAAAAAAAGTTGAGGCGCCTCTGTGATAATGATATTTTTCCTGTTGCCTGGTCAGTGTGATTAAAAAAACACACCAGTGTATGAGGGAGGTGATGGAGCAGTCCAGTAACAAAGTGATGGAAAACGCCTTAGCCAATGGAGGTGAGTCACACACAAACACACACACAC